ATGGTTTCTCTTCTCTCACCTAACTCCTCTTTGGGAGGAGGAAGAACCCATCTAATTTTAATAGGTGAGGGGCAAGGGGTGGGAGGAACTAAGCATGCTGGGCTTGTCCTCTCCTGGATTTGTTTTCTTTTGCCTCCAAAAGGGGCATTCAGGTCAGCCTGTGGTGGTTCAATTTAGAGGCAAGGCATTAGTAGCCACCTGGCCTGTCAATTTCCACATCTTTCATCAGCCGTATCAGTATTAAAACTGGGTCTCCTTCGCAACAATTCCAAACTTGGGAGAAAGATAAGGGAGTTGTTTACTTGTATTCCACTACATGTACATTTTATTAAGATGACAATGCTTAAAAAACAAGCTAAGTGATTAAGATTCTTACGGAGACTTGTTATATAAAACAGATTTAATAATGTGCTATCAAAGAATCCCCTAGAAGCTGCCTGCTTCAACTTCAGGAAGCTTCCCTTTACCAGCTCTGAGTCCTCACTATCTTCCTGGCTGCTCTCACAAACTTTTAAATGATCCAGATCACTGGGAGAATTTCATGGACTTGATTCCATGTCCAAAAGTGAACTGTCATCACATCCAAGCACCTGGTTTCTAAGAAATGTCACACTATTTTGGTAAAAATTCACCTGTTACTGAAAAAGTATTCATATCAAAGTAATACATTGTTGGGTAATACATGAGGATTACATACTTAGGGATTACTATGATTTTAAGATGTGAACCCAAGCAATGACAGGAAACTTTCTCAATATACAAATGAGTACAGGAAGTACGAAATTCTTTGCTTAAAAAAAAAAAAAAATCCAAGATTCTTGAACACTTCCACACTAAGCATGCTAAGCAAAACATATTCATCCAAAGATGGGAAAACTATAATCTGTTTTCCTATAGGTAATTTCTTTTTCTTTTTTTTTTAAAGATTTTATTTATTTATTCGACAGAGAGAGAGACAGTGAGAGAGGAAACACAAGCAGGAGGAGCGGGAGAGGGAGAAGCAGGCTTCCTGCCAAGCAGGGAGCCCGATGCGGGGCTCAATCCCAGGACCCTGGGATCATGACCTGAGCCGAAGGCAGACGCTTAACGACTGAGCCACCCAGGCGCCCCTCCTATAGGTAATTTCTTTATATTTAGTTTCCCCAGAAGTCCCAAATTTAAGGACTGTTTCTCCCCTGGTGTTTCCTGATCGTCTCTTCCTTGTGGAAGAATTTAGCCTTATAAGTTTAAGCAAAACATACTGAAGAATCAGCAGACCTATAAAAATACATTTTCAATGTAAAATGTTTGGAATTGTTTGCCATCTCAAAAACACAAAGGAAAAACAAGTAAACTAAATAATTGAAATGATGATCTACCCTTCACCCAAAACTCAGAAAGCCAACATTAACTGTCCAGTTGTCAGATACTGTTTCCTGACCATATTACACAAATGGTTATTATAAATGTATAGGGTAAATCCAGGAATTTTCTCAAAAGAAGTAACAATTCCAAATAGAGCCCAAAATACAGACAGGAACATTTACTGGAATGAATGTGCGCGTGCGCACACGCATAAACACACACACACACACACACAAACATTGGCTGAGGGAATAATACATTTACTGGAAAAATCCAAGGGGATCTAAAAATTTTACAGTTAAGTTTACCAGTTAAAATGCTCAGCATCAACTCTCAAGATTAAGAAGTAAAATCTAGGGGCGCCTGGGTGGCTCAGTCATTAAGGGTCTGCCTTCGGCTCGGGTCATGATCCCAGGGTCCTGGGATCGAGCCCTGCATCGGGCTCCGCAGGAAGCCTGCTTCTCCCTCTCCCACTCCCCCTGCTGTGTTCCTGCTCTCACTGTCTCTCTGTCAAATAAATAAATATTTAAAAAAAAAAGACTAATTTTACCTTAAAATACAATATAGCATGGCAGTTACAAACCCTGGAGGGACACTGCCTGGGTTTAATCCTGGCCCCATTATATAAGCAGAGACCAAAAGCTACATGGATGGGGCCCCTATACCTGGGTTTCCTCCTCTTTGTAAGCTGGGAATAATGGTACAACTTACCACCAAGAGGTGTTTTGAGGATTTAATAGGTTAACAAAGAGCTTAAAATTGAGCCTGGCTCATAATCAGTACTGTATTAGTATTAGAGTATTATTCCTATGTAGCAATTTTTTTGTTGTAGTAAAATTTATATGACCTAACCTTTACCATTTTACCCATTTTTAAGTACACGGTGGCATTAAGTACATTCACAATGTTGTACAATCAAGGCCATTCATTTCTAGAATGTTTTCATCTTCCCCAAATGAAACTCTGTACACCCACTAAACACTAAAGCCTACTCCCTCTTCGTCCTGGTAACCACCATTCCACTTTCGGTCTATACGAACGTAATGGCAAGTGTCTCATCTAAATGGAATCATACGGTATTTGTCCTTTGGGGTATGGCTCATTTCACTTAGCATAATGTCCTTAAGGTCCATCCATGTTGTAGCAGGTGTCGGAATTTCATTCTGTTTTATGTAGTAATTACCAAAAAAGTCCTATACTTTTACTGTATCAACTAACGCGAAAGTTTTCTGGTTTCTTCTGGAGTTGACAAGCTAGGGAGATAAACTCTTTGAGGGCAAGAACCTTTCTACTTTGGATACATTTGCACTGCCAACACCCAGCATGATGCCTAGCACTCTTATCAGTTGAGTATTTGTTAAAAGAACGAACGACAAGGAGCAATACTGATGTGCCTACATGGCATTCAATTCTATACAAGAGGGGATCATGAGCAGTACAGTTTGTGGAGTAAGTGAGCTTTCACTTAACAGTTCATCAGGATTCCAAGCTTAAGTCAAATGCTAGAACGTAAAGGCAGAGTTGTATATTAGGTTTAAGAAAAGATAAAAGGAAGCTTGGGAGAAAGTTTCAGAATGTACTTCTATATTTTGTTAAATTAGTAGCAGACAGTTCAATCACAAGTTTCTGAAATACGTGTGCAAAATATTTGATCTATTCTACTGAGTTAACACAGTACAGAGTTGTCAAGAACATCTAATTTAACCACCTAGCTTCACTAAGAATATAAAACCATCACAGAACTCTGTTTTGGCTAACACACTGCCCCCCGTGACCTAATAGCCAGCATACTTGAGACTTCTAAGGTGTTTTTCACTCAAGACATTTTTAGATTTTCAAGAAGGCTCAGTGCTATTCTTAACCAGTCTCTGGCACTGAAGCCGCTTCTGTTGGTTTGATGATGTTGGGGCACATGATGCAGCAAATTAAGAGCAGGGGGCTTTACCAGGTACTAATCAGAGACAAGGTCTGGTGGCTCAAGTGGCCTGTGTGTGATGATCAGTACTAATGGAACGCCCAGAATAGAATTTTAGAAACCCTTCAGAAAATTCTGGCCATCTCAAAGGAAAGTGTTCAACTTTTGTGTAACTGAAAAGTGTATTAAGAGGTAGAGACTCTAGAATTCAAAACAATGGCTATAACAATGACTGAGCATTTATTCTGTGAAAGGCACTTGGTTAAGTGCTTTATATTTACTGATCCATTTAATTCTTAGGACAGTCCTTTGAAGAAGGTATTATTATGCTGTCTTACTGAAGACAAAGAGGGGGCTGAGGTTAAATATGATCTAGATCTAGATCTGAGGAGAAAAATAATAAATATGCCCCCAATAGCTTTCATTATTACACTTACTAAACATAAAACTAGAAGTGAGTAGGAGAAACACCCATTACTTAGATCAGGTTTGGGCCTGAATCTGCTCCCATGAGATGTTGTAAAAGGTAGCTTGAGACACTTAAAATGTAAGAAGATTTAACATGAATGGTAATTTAAAAAATGTACTTGTTAACACAAGGCAACACTATACTTTATAAAAATACTGAAGCACGGGGCGCCTGGGTGGCTCAGTTGGTTAAGCGACTGCCTTCGGCTCAGGTCATGATCCTGGAGTCCTGGGATCGAGTCCCACATCGGGCTCCCTGCTCAGCGGGGAGTCTGCTTCTCCCTCTGACCCTCTTCCCTCTCGTGCTTTCTATCTCTCATTCTCTCTCTCTAATAAATGAATAAAATCTTTAAAAAAAATAAAAAATAAAAATACTGAAGCACGATGGTAGGATCATCCTGAGATGATCAAAACTGTCTCCTTCCTACAAGGAATTCGGATGCTTACAGTCTAATTCGAGGGGAAATGAGTTAGGTACAGACATACAAAGAAAAAAGAAGGGGGTAGGGCTAAGTTCTCTAACTGTAGGGCAAGGCTCAAAGGAGCCAACTGCTAGATCTTCAGCTGGAACACCACCATTACAGGGTACAGAAGCTCAAGTCCCAGCCCAAGAATGATCAAAGATGAGCAGCTCTGAGGTGGTTTCACTGGAGAGTGGGGGGAAGAGTTAAGTTGTTGACTTATATTAAAATTAACTCTAACAAGAGGAATTCAAGAGCAGGATATACCTGTTTGTGTGTCATGACTTGAGACTCCCCCCCCTTTTAAAGATTTTATTTATCTACTGACAGAGAGTGAGAGCGCACAAGCAGGGGGAGCAGCAGAGGGAGAGGGCGAAGCAGGCTCCCCACTGAGCAGGGAGCCCGAGCAGGGACTCAGTCCCAGGACCCTGGGATCATGACCTGAGCCGAAGGCAGATTCTTAACTGACTGAGCCACCCAGGTGCCCCATTCTGAGACCTTTTTACCCAAAAGGTAGCCCTTTAAATTAAGTAAAGCCCATGTAACTATGTGAAGGATACCAAGCAAAATTTAATATTGTCCTTGCTAGTAAGCAGAAATACAAAACATGATATCCTAATTAAAAATTAACCAAAAGAAACAAGATCTCTCTTCAAATTGGCATCCTGGAGGTTATGAGACCAAAACAAACGCCATTATAACCTACTCAGGAAAACCAACGGCAGTTTTCAGTCCCAAATGCCTAGGTGTTTGAGGGTGACCGGCACATACTAAGAATAAAACAAAATGTCTAAATTTCACAGTCCAGAAAGAATGGTGTCCATTACCTTTGTAAGTCAATCTGTCTTTCTGCTGGTGCTGCCTTTTTGGCTCCGTCTTGTAGTTTGGGCGCTTTGGCATTACCTGCTTCCAGACCCCCAGGGCTTTCCTGACTGACTGCAGCTCTCTTTCTTCCCTTGCCCAGAGGTTTGTTTATGTCATCAGTTTTGGTTGCATTGCCCTGAGATTCAGACTTGGGTCGGCGCCCTCTCCTGGGTTTTGAAGGGGCAGGTGGTCCTGATTCGTCTACTTTCTCATCTGTTTTTTGTTGGATGTTCTCTGCACCAGATGCCGCTACACTTCTTTTCTTTCCTCGGTCACTGCTGATGTTGCCCTGGGTAGTCTGATCAGAATTGATCTCCTAAAAGAGCACAAAACAATTCTATAAACATAAATTCCTTATATATCAATGATCTGTATTGGAAAGAAGTATTTTGAAAGTATTTTCGAGGAGCTGGAATTCCAAGTCTTCTAATGAACTCCTTGAGGGTAAGGACCTGAGAGCAGGGCCTGCCACGGGGCTTGGCACATATAATCTAAGCCATAAATATGCTTATTAAAATGCACAGGTGGTATATATAGAGAAAATCTACTCAGTTTTGCTTTCACACTCATTCTAAATGAAAAGGTCCTTTTAATCGATGGTATGCTCTAAATTTATCACTTTTTAAAAAAGGGGAGCATGTTTGCATAATTGAATATGCTCTTTATCTATGATGCTCCTTTGACTATAATAATTTCTGTAATTCTATGATATAGGTTCTTCAGTTTCTCACTCCATTCATACATCCTAATTTTTGTCACTTTTTGCTGCAATCATTAACCTACTTTTTTTCTGAACATTTTTTTTTTAGTTTATCAAATATATGTGTTAAGTCATCTAAAATGTTCAAATCCCATTTTAATATAACATATAATGGACATTAATAGTATTTAGAATCGAAAGTGACCTTATACAAAGGATATTTAGGAGTCATAACTTTAACTGATAAAATTTTAATTGATTAAAGGAAGACAAAGGAGCACTATTATTGTCCAAAAAATCAGTTATCTTTCCTATTAACTAATTTTCATTTCCCCCAGAAAATCTTTTCAGAATGACCGGGTAAAAAATATTTATAAATCTTTCATGATTCAAGAAAATTTACTTAAATGAAAACTCATGAAAATAGTAATTTAAGTGAAAAAATTCACAAATCAGTGTTCCACCTTGCTGGGTAGCAATGTCAAGTGTTCCACTTCTTCAAGGAAGCAATATGGAAACATCTAAAATCTGCAATACATTTTACTCTTTGACTCAGCAATCCCACTACTAGAAAGTAAGCCCATAGAAATAAAAAATCACCAGTAAATGTTTGATGCACATTTAATTTTTAATGCAACATTGTAGTGGCAAAAAAGGGGAAGGGAAATATTTATGTGTATACACACGTGAAAATATAAGACAAGAAAAAAATTAATACAGATTACTTTTTTTTTAAGATTTTATTTATTTGACAGAGAGAGACACAGCGAAAGCAGGAAAACAAGCAGGGGGAGTGGGAGAGGGAGAAGCAGACTCCCCGCTGAGCAGGGAGCCCGATGCAGGGCTTGATCCCAGGACCCTGGGATCATGACCTGAGCCGAAGGCAGACGCTTAACGACTGAGCCACTCGGGCACTCCGATACAGATTACTTTTTAAAAGGAACAAAAGCTGCGTTAAAAATCATGCACATGACTGTATTTACACATTTATGAATATTATGTACATGTGCATATGTTTAAAGAACTCATTAAAAGACAAATGAAAGAGGAAACCCATTGGTCAGCCATAGGTATGAAGAAAAAGAAGACTCCTTCAGGACAACACTGGTAACACTGCTTGCCTGAATCCATGGGGTATGTCTTGCTTCTTTTAACCACCTCCCTTACTCATCCTTCATATTACAATTTGATTTCCCTCACAGAGTAAATAACAAGAGAGAATGTCCTGATTTTTTTTTTTTTTAAGAGATGGGGAGGGGCAGTAGAAAAGGGAGAGAGAGAATCTTAAGCAGGTTCCACACCCAGCACAGAGCCCAGTGTGGGGCTCAACAGCACAACCCTGAGATCTTGAGCTGAGCTGAAATCAAGAGTTGGACACTCAACTGACTGAGCCACTCAGGCACCCCAAGAATGTCCTGATTTGTAAACGCCCATATCTAATTTGCTGGATAATTTTTATACACACAATAAACTGGTTTACGCATTAATCTCTTTGAAAAATTGGTTAGCAAGAAACACTCTCTTCGATCTTTATCTTCTTTTAGTATACCAACAAGATAGTTTCTTGAGCCTAGCCGACTTTGGAAAGAAATGACAACTTATGGGAGACCTGACTGGGAAGTGACTAAGTTTTGTCAAAATACAACCCCTGTGTATTCAAGGCTACAGCGAATTTGTTAAAACATTCTTTGGAGGGGTGCCTGGGTGGCTCAGTCAGTTAAGCGTCTGCCTTTGGCTTAGGTCATGATCCCAGGGTCCCTGCTCATTGCGGAGCCTGCTTCTCCCTCTGCCCCTCACCCTGGCTCGTGCTTGCTCTTTCTCTCAAATAAATGAATGGAATCTTTAAGGAAAAAAAAAAAGAAACATTCTTAAAAAAATTCTTTGGAAGTGTGAAAAAGTTAAAGTAAGGGTTTGGAACACTATTATAGATTAATCATAAAGTAACATTTTGGCTTCTCAAAAATTACAATTTAAATATCACATTTATCTTTTCTATTATTAAAGTATAACTGACATATAATATCAATTTATATCTTACATAGAATTTTATATCACAGGCTAGAAAAGTTATAGTTGTTTGTGCCAGAAAAAACTTTTTTATCCCTGTACCACCTCTTCGAAGCTACACATTTAAGTATGTTTAAATGAATGTCTGTGGTAATATGCATTTTTGATGTAAGTTTGTTTAGGTCAAAACTGTTTAATTCTATACAAGAACCCCACAATATTCAAGTCTATTGGTTTCTGAATTCCAAGAGTTTTGACAGTGAGAGGGCTCCCTGTTATTTGAATCTACTGACATACTGAACTTCAGATAACAAACAGCAAGAGGCTGAATAGTAAGAGACTGATCTAAAAATGTATCATCATCTATTCAGTTTGAATTCAGATAATGAGTTTGCATAGTTCAGCTATTGTGGAATAACTGTACAGTCTTGTATTTTATGTATCCGAGGGTGATTCCTAAAACATTTGATGAATACTATAAATATATGGTGGGCAATAAAAAGATAAATATGTTGAGAATATGATTCTGTAGGAAAAGAAGTAATAGTTAGTTCCATACCATTGCTACTGAGGTAAGTTACCGGTCTCATTCTATAGTTTAATGAAGCTCAGAGAAGCCCAGCAATCTGCCTAAGTAAACACACAGCCAATGAGTGGCAGAGCCAGGATTCAGGGTCTGATTCTTAACAATGTTTCTCTCCTGCCACAAAATTGTTAAAATTGGGTGCCATAATTATAAGGTCAACAATAAAGAATGTAGCTGTTACACAGAAACTCAAATACATTTTAAAAGATTAACTCATAAATTTAACTGGCGCCTGGGTGGCTCAGTTGGTTAAGCGACTGCCTTCGGCTCAGGTCATGATCTCAGGGTCCTGGGATCGAGCCCCGCATCGGGCTCCCCGCTCCACGGGAAGCCTGCTTCTCCCTCTGACCCTCCCCCTGCTTGTGTTCCCTCGCTCGCTGTCTCTCTGTCAATTAAATAAAATCTTTAAAAAAATAAAAAATAGAAAAAACAACAGTGTATACATCTCTTATAGGAGTCAATAAACTTGAAAGTAAGATCTCAAAAACTCTCAATTCCTAGTCTTTCAAGTTTTGGGAGTAGTAGTGTGGGAGAAGGATACTATTATAGGTGGCTACATCAACTCTTGAAATGGGTGGAGATAGGCAGTGGAAGCATGGTAAGTATAGTGAGAGGTGGTATACACAAATGTAGAATATGTAGTATATATTAACTTGTCAAGTGGGGGTTTCTTAACATCTACCATGAAACTGTAATAATCTCTGGGAGAATTCCATTTGTTAAATTTTAAAAATTTACCTTATTCTTTACCGGGTCAATATTCTTTACAGGTGTGACAGAAATAATCCTCACAGGGTTCTCTTCATTTTCACTAACTCCAGTTTCTACTGCCTCTGAACTCTGTTCCCTGTTGAAGAAAAATAAAGCAAAGCTTCTTTATTTCACCACATGGACAGACAGCCTACCCTTTCACTAACCAATAAGGAAACAGAAGCTTAGGCTAGTTTAGAAGCCCAGCCAACTGAAGCAACATTAGCAAGATTCAGATCTTCTGTGGTTATAAGACCACTGCTGTATTATATCATGTTACTGATTTCCTTTAACCTTACTAATGTAAGACACAAATAACTGCCTAAAACCACCAGACAGAAACATTAGCTGTCTAGAAACAAAATCATACAACTATTTTAAGACTTTCTCTTAGGGGTAGGAAACCCTAAAACAAAGTAAAAATACAGTGATAGATGTATTATAGTGTATAGTACAGTTGTCTCTAGTCTGTGTGTGTGTGTGTGTGTGTGTTTTAAGATTTTATTTATTTGACAGAGAGAGACACA